ACCGTAACTTCTAGCTTAAGCGTTATTTCAGTTTTATCAAAATATACGAATATAAACGAACAATTATCATACAAGCAGTGATAACACTGATTCTCGTTGTAAGCTCTCCGAGCACTCATCCAACACAATTTCGTTTCAAACTACGACTATGCGCAGATTTCTTGAAAAAAACCTCCCGGTAATACATTATCACTGCCGGTCAAATGAAAAAGAACAACAAAAAAAAAACAACAATAAATCAACGGGTCCATCAATAAACTGTGGTTACATACAGGGCTTGAAACAATTATGAAACAAAGAATCGCGCGAGGAGAGGGGAGAGGTTAATCGATGAATCGAAATCGATCGCTTATGATTTTGTATCTTTCGTCGTCCAGAATCAGAATGAAGGTCTGCGTGAAGGCGTGCGTCATTTGACCGAGAACAACGGTTCCCACGCAGAGCACCACCAGTGGGCGCGTCGAGTTCGAACCATCATCAATGTGATGGCAATCCAACGATGATAGTCTGAAATATAAGAAGCCTCAAATAGCCTCAAATAGGAGGCCTCAAACCTTCCTCCCCCTTCCCTCTCCCTCCCTTACTTACCGCCCTTCTCCCTTCACTTATGTTTCCTCTGTTTCCCAGATATATCTGATGCAGAGGGGGATTGGCAAAAAAGGAAAAAATGAAAGCGATTTTCTTGAAAATGCGGCATTTCCCTTCCTAATCGACAAGGTATTTCTTTTGAATTGGAGGAAAGGCACACATATCATGCATGAAAAACAACATAAAGTGCCAGTCCGTAAGTGCTTTTTTGCATTTTACGAACGGAGTGTTCCACTAGCGGGAACAATCAATTCGTTTTGATGTCACACAGAAAAGTCAAAAACGCCATCAGCTTACTCCCAAATAACCTTCGAGAGAGGCAACAGTTGTGACAACCATGCCCGCAGGTGATTGATGTTGGTATTTACCACCAATGCTGGGTGAGTGCGAAGAGGGAGGGGGGGAGGGGGGG